ATTTGATGTGAAAGAAATATGGAATGGAGTATACATATTTTAATTTTTTATATGGTTTCATCCAGTGTTTGGCATATGTTTCCAATAGGTCTTCAATTGTTTCTCCTTCAATGATAGCTCTCTGCAAATATGACAATTTTGATACATGTTATTAGGTGTAGTAAAGAAGAATAACTAATCATCAAAATGTTGATAATAGATGTTATTTGAACTTTATAATTGTACATTTTAAAAAAATTAAAAGTAAAATTACAGTATTTTACTGTAAAAGTTATATGACAATATTTACAAAATGGGAAAATTATTAGTCACAAAACAAAAGTAAAGTGTAGTGGGTTGTGGTTCAATGATTTAACTATTAAATAAAAAATATGATGAATATATAAATCAAATTTAAATTTTTTTATTTAATTTGAAAATTATATATAATTTATTACATTAATTCAAATTGACTCATAATATATTTTTATAAATATACCTTATTTACTCAATAATTATCAAACAACTAATCTATCATATTTTGTTGATTATTTAGCTCTTATAAAGAGATATACTTACTTAAAGATAATCATCTAATAAATATGAATTTGGATCCTTATGGATAACCAAATTCAATAAATATTCTCACTTATGGATAAATTTCTTTGTCTATATAAAAGGGCACAAGTATCGATTTATTCATATTTTACTCATGAGATCACTTTTTATTTGAGCGTCATAAAGGTGTTCACACTCCTACCGTTAAGATCAAAGTGCTATCTACTCTTTATTAGAGTATTTATAAATTCCGATAAAAACATTTATCATATATACAACTAAAATGTTATTTACCTTATAATTAAATAAAGTTCTTACACTAAGGTATCAGTTCCTATAGTCTCACTGTGACTTTCACTTTTTTTATAATTTTTTTAAAGCAAAGTAAAACACGTGTTTATTCATAATAATAGATTTAGTACAAAAGGATATAAATACATAAACATGTAGACTAACATAAAAACAGACTTTATAAATAAAGTATGAACGATTTGATTAACTTGTTTACAAATAGTATAATTCAATTTTTTTTATCAAACTCTTCCTACAGTACTTCAAAATAGTGTCAATTTCATTGTTCATAATTTTTTTACCAGTTACAACTTTGGCAATTTGCTAATAATCAGATTCAACAATAATTTATATAAAATTAAAAAATGTTTAAACCATATCAAAACCCACTTGGATTTCTTTTTGTTTTTTGATCACATTTACATTAGTTGGGGAGTGCTATTTTTGTATATTAGGGGTAAGGATGATAAGTAGATTTGTATTAGTGGATAATACTCAATCTTGTTTTAATTTTGACAAAGAATATTCGATTTGATAAGGTATAAATATGGATAATACTCAATTTATTAAATCGAGTATGACCATGGAATGAATATATTCATACCTACCTGCTTTAAATTTTTAGAAACTTAATTTATTTTTTTAAAAAATTTACTTGACATTTATATAATTTTTACTCTATTTTAAGTTTATGTCAAATGAAACTTAATTAATGTAATTTTGTAATTTTTTATATATATACATATATTACAAAAATAAATATAATTATTTTTTGACATATACAGGAGAGTACAAATATATTTGATACTTGACGAGGGTAAAGATGGGACACAAATTTCATGTGTCGAACATGAGTTTAAGAATAGAGATGAGTATAAGATACAAGAACAAGAATGAGGATAATAAAACTCATACACACCCGACTCGATCGCCATCCCTAATTAGGAGAGTTAAGTCATTTTGTGTTTCTATGTATTTTATTTAAAAATAAGAAAACTAAAAGTTATAAAAATATAAATCAAGTGAGATAATATATAATTTAAAAAGTAAATTAATCTTAAACAAAATTGAAGACTAAAGGTGATTAGAAAATAAGAAGATAATCATTATTATAAAATATTATTTTGATACATTTTTTTTTGTATTTTATCTTTAAGAGATATGATGGTGAAAAAAAAATAATAAAGGGATAAGATGTTTAAAAAATATAGAAACTAAAGAGAGGTATCTCCTTTTTATATAGTATAGATTATAATTAAAATTTATAATAAATAAATAAATTTAATATATATAAATTATATTTTAGATTTATGATAAATAATTTATACTGTAATATAAAATTATTTATAATTGTTAATATTAAAAAAATGAAAATGACGTATGTAAAGACAATAAATTAAAAAATATGAAAATAATATGTTTGAATAAATAAGAGATAAAAAAAATATTAAAATAAATATAAAATAACACAGATAAAAAACATTTAAATTGCGAAGATAAATATGTACATTGCATACTTTTTAGCTCCCACATTTTTGTATATAAATTAGCTTATACAATAGATAAACTAAATTACTAGTTGTATTATAAATTATCTAAAGAATGAAATGACATTTTTTTCCATAAATTTATTTGATCTATCATGTTTCGTTATATTTTATTCAATTATTTATCAATAATCTAAATGAAACTCAAATTTATCGACAAATTATTGATTTAAGTAATATTGAATTTAAATTTTTTAAGATTTGAAGTTTGAATTTTGTATTTATAAAACATGATAGAGATTAATCATTGATAAAAATTAAATATAACTAATTAAATTAAAATAAAATATGTATTAATTGATCATAAAATATCTGGAAGATAATTAAGAATACACTGTTATTCCCTAAAAAAAATAACACAATATTATCCCTTAAAGTAAACCTCCTAAAATTTAAACAAAAAAGCTTAAATCATCGGAAACAAAACCAATTATCTATCATCTATATCGATTAATATATAAGATGATAAAATAATCATAAGAAATCTACAAAGTGATCAAGAATACAATATTCTTCCCTTAAGAAAAATACAATATTATCCCCTAAACCTTCTAAAATACAAAGGGAAAAATAAGTAAAAGGGCACAAAATCAAATTTGGTTAACCAATACTTTTTTATCATAATCATGATATAAGTAAAAGGGCACGTTCAAGAAAATATTATTCTCCTAATATAATCAATTTTATAGTTAAAATTAAGAAACTTTTGAATATCTTAATCCAGAGACAGAAGTTTACAAGGTTGGTATGGTATGAGTGAAAAAAAATACATTTTGTTTGAGAATTTATTTAAAATTAAAATGGCATATAGCAGCGTTTTTTAAGGCAAGAAGAAGGGGTAATATAAAATTATTTATAATTGTTAATATTAAAAAAATGAAAATGACGTATGTAAAGACAATAAATTAAAAAATATGAAAATAATATGTTTGAATAAATAAGAGATAAAAAAAATATTAAAATAAATATAAAATAACACAGATAAAAAACATTTAAATTGCGAAGATAAATATGTACATTGCATACTTTTTAGCTCCCACATTTTTGTATATAAATTAGCTTATACAATAGATAAACTAAATTACTAGTTGTATTATAAATTATCTAAAGAATGAAATGACATTTTTTTCCATAAATTTATTTGATCTATCATGTTTCGTTATATTTTATTCAATTATTTATCAATAATCTAAATGAAACTCAAATTTATCGACAAATTATTGATTTAAGTAATATTGAATTTAAATTTTTTAAGATTTGAAGTTTGAATTTTGTATTTATAAAACATGATAGAGATTAATCATTGATAAAAATTAAATATAACTAATTAAATTAAAATAAAATATGTATTAATTGATCATAAAATATCTGGAAGATAATTAAGAATACACTGTTATTCCCTAAAAAAAATAACACAATATTATCCCTTAAAGTAAACCTCCTAAAATTTAAACAAAAAAGCTTAAATCATCGGAAACAAAACCAATTATCTATCATCTATATCGATTAATATATAAGATGATAAAATAATCATAAGAAATCTACAAAGTGATCAAGAATACAATATTCTTCCCTTAAGAAAAATACAATATTATCCCCTAAACCTTCTAAAATACAAAGGGAAAAATAAGTAAAAGGGCACAAAATCAAATTTGGTTAACCAATACTTTTTTATCATAATCATGATATAAGTAAAAGGGCACGTTCAAGAAAATATTATTCTCCTAATATAATCAATTTTATAGTTAAAATTAAGAAACTTTTGAATATCTTAATCCAGAGACAGAAGTTTACAAGGTTGGTATGGTATGAGTGAAAAAAAATACATTTTGTTTGAGAATTTATTTAAAATTAAAATGGCATATAGCAGCGTTTTTTAAGGCAAGAAGAAGGGACAAAGTGGTGTTTCTTACTTTTAATTCCAATTGGAATCCATCAGTAACCCTAACCCTAAATCAAAATCCAGAGGTTTGTGTCTGTCGATGCTCCGTGTTGGTGGTTCGAAAGCTCTATCAGGGAGGAGGGTTCCTTTCTTAAATGCTCTCTCTCTTCTCTCTCTGCTCTCCCTTTTCCCCTTTCATGTCTTCAATCACCGCCTCTGCCTCTGCCTCTGCTCCTTCAGGGTCTCCAAAAACCCTACTTTTTGATTTCCACACCAACCCTTTTTATACCACCCTCTTGGTTTTCCAACTTCCGTCTCCTCGCCAACACGAGTTATTCTAAGGTGCGGTTTTTCGTTTTTCGGTTCCTGCGTCCAAATTATCTGATTGCTCACTGTTCCTCTAGTTCCAGCTGTTTTCGATCTCCATTGTTAGTTGCCAGTGTCAATTGAGGTTCATAACGGTTATTGCTATTGCGAATCTTATGTAGTAGAACGTCGTGTTTTCTTTGTCATTTTCCCTTTCAATCTGTTTCGGTCTAGTTTTGGGAGTTTGCTACTTTTTTTTTTTTTTTTTTTTT